CGGGACGACGTCGATCCCGAAAAACCAGATCTGTTCGGCCAAACACCACTCCATTCTGCTGCCTTGTGTGGGCATGAGGGAGTGGTGAAAATACTGCTCGTACAGGGCGACGTCAATCCCGACAAACCAGATAGCGACGGCAAAACACCACTCCATTCTGCTGCTTTGTGTGGGCGCGAGGGAGTGGTGAAAATACTACTCGGACGGGATGACACTAACCCCGACAAACCGGATAACGACGGCCAAACACCGCTCTGGACTGCTGCTAGCTACGGGCACGAGGGGGTGGTGGAAATACTGCTCGAACGGGACGACGTCAATCCCAACAGGCCAGATAACGACGGCAAAACACCACTTAGCCGTGCTGCTGAGAGAGGGAACACTGGAGTGGTAGCGTTACTGCAGCCCCACGCATCTTCCACCCCCAGCACGTTCTAAGTGCGAGACGGCATTTCCCTTCTTACTGTGCTCGGATACCGAAAATCCATATGCAATTTCAGCGAGGACCACAACAGCTCCATAAATTTGTTTATTACCCCCACCCCCTTTTCATACCCGCCCAACCTCCGCCGCACTTTCAAATCCTTCCTTTTATTTTGTAATCACCGTCTGTCATCTTCTTCCGGAGTGATCCTGCCACGAAACCTCAGCTTGAATACCCTCTTTTGTGCGAGAGAAATCATATACGATCCAGACGCACTTGTCTATCAGATATCCGCCCAACCTCTGTTTCGGTTTTCCTCTGCTGCCCAGTCTGTATTTGTCAGTATTTATTCATAATCCACGCTTCGGTGTTGGTTGTAGTGGCTATTTCTACCGTATTCGGATAAACAATATATCTTTCATATTTACTTTCTTCGTTGTTTCTAGTTGTGAATACACGTTATATATTTTCTCAATTATTTTTTCTACAATTCGTTTTTTTTCCTCCCTTTCCCCCACCCCGAATTGTAGTGGTGGGGGCTACTTAGACATAGAGAATAATAAACAGAGCAAGTTTTTCTGAGATTCATGAAAAGCAAGGTTGGAAATCTAAGCTGTTGGTTTGGATATTCTGGTGCCTGGTCTCCACTCTGGCTCTAGTCTAATGAGTATGTTTATATGCCATTGCCCTACGAATGTGAGCTTGGAGGTGAGTCCCAGAGGACTCCCGCACTTTCTACTCCCACCCGTTGAGGAAAAATAGTGCAGTATCGTAAGAGGTCCCTTGCAAACTCGAGTGACTTGCTATGCGGCAGAACCCTTCACGAAGGGTCCTATATATAGCCCGTGATTTAGGAGAATAGGGCGGAGGAGGGGCCAAGTTGGATCCACGATATTCCTTCCCGATATTCCGGGGCGGGTTCTGTATTTAAAACCCATAGCATTAATTGGATTTTCCTCTCGGTTGTATACCTGCGCCAACCCTTCCTCCCCTTACATCTCCATTGAGTCCCAAGATGTTTTTGCAGCAGCTCGGCTAAAGGAGTTTGGTAGGTTTGCTGCAAACTATTTATGATACTCGAGTAGTATCTCTGTCTTCTACTGGAGTATTATATCCCGTGTCCCGGCGCCAAGATCGGTCACCTCATCTGGAATAGCTTCCGTGGACCCACAAAAAGCGTAGTGCTAGTCTGTAAAGAAGCAAGTATGCCCTCGCTACATTGAGAATGGAGATGGAATAACCTTGAGAAGCGTTAAACCCCTCCCAGGCCCGAACCTGTAGCAAGTCCACATGAAAGTCCACTCAAAAGGCATCAATAAGTTCCTATGGCATACGCTCTCACTCGACATATAATGCCTCCTGCACTCGCCTTTTCGTTTCTTCACTACTCTCAATAGAGTTACACTGGGGCATAGAGTCCTTGAGGTAGCTCCGGCATGGCTCAAGTTCGTTCGAATATGGTGAGTTAGGCGGCTAGGATAGCGTGTGTATTCCTTGGTGTTGCGCCTCGTGATCCAACATTCCCCCACCGGATGTTGATATTTTACACTATCGTCATGGCTTTTCAAACAGCTCAGATGCTATACCTCTTGCAGGTCTGTGGAAGCTATTCCAGGTGGGATGAGACGACTTGGCGCGGAGACACGAGTACGGTACATCCTATCAAGGGTCTTAGCTAGGTTGGCGGAAGGAGGGTAACTTAGGGGAGGGGAGAAGGTGGGAAGAGGGGGAAGGTGAGGAGAAGAGCTAAACACAATCAACAAATATCTGTTAATAAGCGAGCTTCCTGCAAGACCCAAATTTACCCACATTCTTAGAGGTGGGCTGAAAGTAGGCAGCTTGAAAGACAGAATTTTCAAATTCCTCGTGGTCCCGGGGGGGCCGATACCAGCGGTACAGTGCTAGCCTTGGGGCCTACCTTCGGGACATCCGATATGGATAGATATTACTCGTATTCCGACTTACCACGACATCTACAGATTGCGGCTAGGGGGCCTTGTTGTGGGAATATTTCGATTCCTACAGTTCTAGGTGGGGACAGTTCCGATAAGAAATTTCAGAAAGCAATGCACTGTGGGCAATTCTCAGGGATGATTAAAGCTACCAGTATCCGGGTGATGTTTTGGATTTTAAATATGTGTTGATGGTCATTCCGGATAACCCTGTGCTTTTGTGGGGAATGGTCTTGTCCCACTATTTCCTTCCCCCGCGTGGTGGGCGGGGCAGTCAGGTCGATGCGATTGCGGACCAGAATGAATCTTTCCTTCGCCGGTTTCAACAAGTGAGCACAGCGGTAGCATCGTACGATACTTGGTGGGATATCGGGTCAAGTGCCGTCGCAGGTAATTGATGGAGATGGCAATGAGAATAAGCCCAGGAAGATGGGGGAGGGAGGTAGAGGGGGTGGAAAAAAAGGAATGCCGAATCAGAAACCCCCTTCCTCTGTTCGAGTATGCCCAATGATCTTTCCTGTAGTGCAATTGAAGGGCCCGGTAAACCCCGCGAGAGTGCAGCGGGGAGATCAAAAATTCTCCCACCTCTTGGCGCCGTCATTCCCCGTCTCTGACTACCGCCCCCACTCGCGGATATTCGATTGTTCTCCAACCTCTCCCTACCTACTTTCAATCATGTGCCAGATAGGGTAATAACCCCCCTCTTTCCGTCTTGCTCCCTTTCATGAAGGCTTCGGTAATTCTGTCCAATTACTCTCTTTGGCCCTTCCACCGTGCTCCTACTGTGCACTATAACATCCGTCTTGCTCCTCCACATAGTGACTTCGATTTTACTGGCGAACAAACGGCAGACCTGGTCACAAATCCCGGTAAGGAGTGAGATATTCGGGGCCTCTTCGGCACATTGTGCAGTACTAGGCCCTTACTTCCTTCTATCAGCTCTTTACAGTTATGTAGCAATAGGTGAACAGCCAGTCGTTTCCCGTCCGGGTGTTTATTAAGCTGCTGTGGTGGAATTTCCACCCCTAGGCTACTTTTAACTCCTCGGAGATATTCGGCTGCTGTCGCCTATAAGGTGGTAGCGGAGGAGAAACTAGTAGAAGGTCCATCGGCCGGTATGCAATACCCCTTTGCGTAAAGCTTTCTCAATTTTCTGACATTTGACATGAGCCCGCTGAAATGAGCTGAGGGTCCAACAACTGTCTGTCTGGTTACACTCCCAGATGTTCAAGAGGGGATCCGTGCACCCTTCCCCCACCGCCGGCGCTGATCGAACTCGCTCGGGATCATTTGAATTGCCATGATCTTTACTAGAAACCCTCAGACACAAATCCACCGATTAGCTTCGATCTGCCTGAATTACAGGGTGATACTCTGGACGAACATTTCACTAAACTTGGGATGGAGGTGTCAGAGCCATATCTCTTTACGGCTAGAATTTTCCCTCTCTCGGACATACCGAATCCACCTACCGGATTGGAGAGACTGCCTGAATTGATGAGGTCTGAGGCTGGTGCTGGTGGAGCATTCACCTTTCGGCCTGTTGAAGCGCCGGAGGGGGATGTATAGCGTTGTTGGCACTAGAAGTGCCTTGTGCCGTGCCAATGTGCCCGGCACGGCACTACGAAATGCCAGAGTATAGTGAGATTAGCTGATGGCACAACCTGCTAGTGGCACAATATGATTATCAAAAAAATGGCGAATATTCTAGCACTTCAGGGGGGCAAGGACCCACAGGGATGGGAAACGGGTGATATTCGGTGTGAATTGGACTTGTAGATAGTTTCTCGTGTCTTTCCCCTTAGAAGAATCATTTTATTTTGTATGTGGATTGCCTGGGCACTACATAGTGCCGTGCCAGGCACATCGATCTGAGCCGTTGTGCCCTGGTACAACTTTCCGTGACTCAGTGCCAACAACGCTAGGGATGTAGTTGTATTCGACGTTGAAGTTCTGTACAAGGTCACGCCATTTGCGGTCATGGCGTGTGAAGCGCACAAGGATGCTTGGTACTGTAGCCTGTTTGTCGCCGTGGTTGCTTGAAATGGATCAGGATCAGTGCCGTCTGATACCATCTGGGGATATAAACATGCCGCGAGTGATTGTTGGGAATAATTTTGGCTTTGGCAAAGCACTGGCTCATGAAGAATATGATTTAAGACAGTCGAGAAATTGTTTCCTCGATACGTTGTCCTTACACGCCGTGGTGAACGGGATATGCTCATGCCGGAGACCAACATGGATTAGACATAAGAAAAATAAGGAACTTAGGGAATGGTTTGAGAAGGAGGATCATGGGGATGACCTTCGTGCAATGTTGAATGCGGGCCTACATGAAGGTGAGGTAGAGGAATTATGGGTTAGGCGAAGCGCGATAAATTCACTGGGGGAGGGGACCAAATTTCATTACGATATCGAACTCAATAAGGAAGTGCGAAACTAGTTTGGAGGAGAAAGTGTGAGGGATATGCTCAAAAATTTGGATGAGCTTCTGAACTATTGCGCCGAGGATGTCGTCGCCACACATAAGGTTTATTAGAAAGTACTTCTAGAGTTTTTGGAGGCATGTCCACATCCGGTCAGTTTCGCAGCTCCTCGGCATCTTTCTTCGGCCATACTCCCGGTTAACAGCTCTTGGGGCTAGTATCTTAAGGCCGCCGAGGATACTTAACAGGAAACGCCGGACCGCGTGAAAAAGCGTCCGGTGGAGCTTGCGGAATTGGCATTGGCGCTCAAAGCGCGAGGTTTATGGGAATGATGAATGGTTAAGGTAGCTTGATTGGTCAGGGCAGGAGATTATTTTTCTTGAGCTGAAAGGGGGAGAAATAGAACAAAGACGGGCTAGACAGAAGATGGCCGGAATGCCTAAATGGTATAAAGATCTCTTTGCGAAGGATGGCTCTCCCATATGCGCAGCGTCATTGGTTAACGATTATCTTCAGTATCTTGAATCGCAGACACTGTCATCTGAACGTCCGCTCGTAAAGGAGGCTTTTGGAATGAATTCTGCCTGCTCGTATTGGATCTCAATGAGGGAAATAATACGGTCACTAATGGTTGTTTATGAAAGTGATCTCCGCCGGGCCGAAGGGGAGACAGAGGTAGCCGAGAGGAGAATAAAGGGGGGGGAAGGAGGTGCCGATGTGGGTGTGTTGAGTGAAGAAACTGCGGATGGGGCGACGTCAACCCCGACACGCCAGATAACGAGGGCCAAAAGCCGCTATGGGTTGCTGCTAGGCATAGGAACCAAGAAGAAGGGAAAATACTACGGGGACGGGATGACGTCAACATAGACAGACAAGATAACCGGAGCCGAATACCGTTATGATACAGTGCTTCCGAGAATGTGCATGAGGAAAACAGCACTACTACAGCCCCCGGCGCCCGCTAACATACCTCCAGCACAGCCAAAGGAGGCGGAGTCACCACCTCCTTGCCGCCCTTTTCCAGGGACAAAATATACTCCAATTCCGCAAAGACGGCAATAACAAACATTTCTACCGCTACTATTGCCACCTCCCCTCGTCCCCACTCCACCTCCTCCAGTGTATACCCCTACCTTGTGGTAACTGCCTCCCTTCCATCCCCCCGGAGTAAACCCGCCATAGAAACTCTGCTCAAATATTCCCTTTTTGTCGAAGGAGGTTATATATCACAGGAAGGTATCAAGGTGCTTTGGTTCAACCTGGACATGGCTTAAGATCGTGCTTATATGCCACCGCCCTCCGAATGTGAGCTTGAAGGTGCGCTTGCCCCCCTGCTCATTTTAACCTTCCCCATCAAGGGGGGCCAACCCAGGAAGGAGTTTAATTGGCTCCCATGCTATGAATATCATCTAGGCTGGGAAAATTCATACCGTAGCCAACCCCTCCATGCATGTCCTTAGATGTAGATTGCCTGCGTGGCCCAATATTCCCGAGAGCAGTCTTAAGGGGGATCCAGGTTAGATCCGCCATATTCATATCCCCAATGAGGGGGGGGCAATTCTGTATTTAAGAACCTAGATTGAGTTTTTCTCTCCTCCCCTCGCACCTCCATTGAGACATAGTCTTTTTTTCATATCGGCCCGGCTAATGGCGTCTCACAACACGGTAAATTACTGTATTGTATCGCCGGATTTTTGTTTTTGGTGTGTTCTGGTAGTAAGGTTCTCCCGGGTCACAGTTAGTGTGCTCCATGACCTGAATTACCCCAATTACCTGTATGGAAGGCCAGGCCACCCTCACCACAGCAAGTAGTTGTTTAGGATGGGACAGTCACAGCGAACGGGGAGTATGGGGCAGCTTTTAGTAAAACTGTTTATGCTACTATCGGTCAGAAGTAGTTGCAGAAGGGAAAAACAGGCAAACAAAATAGAACGGAAATATCTATCACGAGTGCTCGCTCCTTGCCTTGGTAATTCTTCTTCCTCTCTTTCCAGGCGTTGATCCCATACCAGTAGGGCATCTACATGAAAATACCATTCTTTGAGATGGAAAGGTCAATAGATTTGTGACAAATAAACGAGACATTGTAATTTCGGATGTCCGCGCCTGGCTCAATTGGTCCGTTCATGTGCCCCACAATAAATTTGTCGGGCGCTATGGGTAGCAGTGTGTGTGTGAACAGCCCAAGGGAGAGTTAAGCCTTTTCGTAGGTGCCGGGACTGGAATGTGCTATCATATGACGGTTTATACGGTCGTGGCGGCCATATGGTGATCCCGCTCAGAGACCCCGACTAAAGACTAATCTATCTCGGCTAGCTATTGTAGTAGTAGATCTTAGATCCTGAATTGTCCTAGGATCTAGGGGACGGATATTTATGAAATCCAGCCACTCCTTGAATTTTTACCCAGGTTAGCCATCCAGGGGCGGTTTGTTTTGTGAAGCTTGCTTCCTGATCGGGGGGAAGGTGGGTATAGTCTGATAAATGAAGCAACCAACCGCAACACCGCACTATGCTGCGCGATGCTAGTATAATATTGCGCTCGGTGGTCTCAACGAGTATCGGGACTCACGGTCCCTATCTTCACAGGACCTGGTACGAGGTTACGTAAATCACCGGGATATGACACAGTACCGGGATGTGACACACATTGCAAC